TTGGGGAAGCTCTGAGTGTAAGCCTAGTCTTGCAGCATGTGTGAGAAACAGTGTGATGCACTTAGGCACCCCCAAAACTTAAGGTTTTACGTGTAGAAGGACGGATATTGCGGAGAACAATGTGAGGCAGCATAAAATATGTGCTAATTTAAGCATATTTAAGAAATAAATTGTAATCAGCATCATAGTGAATGAAAGTAATAAAAATGTTAAAAATTATGGTTGTTTTTATGATCTGCAGCAAATCTAGTAGCACGACTGGAAATAGATGTCACCCTCTATCATTACATTTGTATCACTTGTCGAGATGTTTTCTGACCTTCCAGGCCAAATAGATTACCCTGTGTTCTGCTAGTTGCTTAGAATCCTACCATATCAGTTTGGGCATAACTTTCTCGTAGAGATTTTTGTGTTACTGAGTGTTTCTCCTTTACTTTCCCTATAGACAGAGGAAGCATCTACCTTTTCACCACACTACTGAGACATTCTGGCTTTTCAGGAAGATATTCTAATTTATACCAATTTCTTCATTTCTAATCCTGTTTGCCTACCCTTCTATGATTCCCATTTATTTTGCTCTTGGATTTGTACTTATTTTTTGGATTCCATTCTTCTTTGTTGGGCTGCTTTTCATTTTCATATGGTGGATCCTCAAGTGATCACTCCTCACAGAGCCTATGTGTTCTTGTCCTGCAGTTTAATCGTTTGGTTTGATCACTCACTGCTGGCCAGGTCCCCCACACCCTGACGTGCCATTTCTGCCGTGGAGCCTGGATCCTTGGAAGCTGTGAGCCAAAATAGACCTCTCTGCCTTTGAATTGCAGGTGCTAGGTGTTTTGTCCCAGCTGCAGGAAGGTGACTAATCATGGGTACACAGCTTCTGTGGCCGGAAGGAGCAAGGTATCTGAAGGGGACCGAGAGGAGGATGGTCCGGGTTGGCCGGAGCAGAGGGGGGGGCTGGAGCGAGGCGCAACCGGACAGGCAGCCTGGGTAGCAGCAGGCTGGACCTTGTGGGTCCCGGAAGGCAGTTTGGGGTAAGCTGTGAAGGGGTTTAAAGTAGGAAAGTGATACAATTAATGAATCATTGTGGCCCTGCCAGGGGTTAGAGGGAGAAAAAGATGGCGGCTGGGAGACCCCATTGCACTGGAGCTCAAAAGGGTGAGGGCTTGGGTGGCAGCGGTGGAGTGGGTGAGCAGGAGCTCTCGAGGAACTATGTGGCAGGCGTCACTGGTCGTGTTGTGGCTCTGATTCTTTGCTTCTCCTCCAGCTCCCCTTGCACCGGGTCTTTGCCTCTTTGTGGAGGTGAGGGGCCGTTTCCCACCTCTTCACTCTGGGTCTGGCCGTGTGACTGGATTTGGAAATAGCATCCTGTCACCTCAGATGCCACGTTGGTTCTTCTCAGCTGGCTTCATTGTTTGGTAGGGCCTGTTGTGTGCTTCTCCCGGATGTCTTGCACCTCTGCACTGGCTGTGCAAAACACATTGGGTGAGCCCCTTGGTCTCAAGAGGAGGGAAAGAGACCAGTAGCACCTGGCCAGTCCCAGCCCAGTGCAGCCCTGCAGCACAACTGCACCCCCCGCCAGCCGTACCTCTGTGGGAACCCGTGATGATTGGGTGAGAACAAGTGACTGAGATTTGGATTATTTATTCCTTAGCTTTCTCTCTCTCTCTCTCGCTCTCTCTCTCTCTCTCTGTAGCAAAAGCTAACTGATACAGCAGGTAAAATCAACAGAACTTGAGAGATGGGACATAGCAGATTTGTGGGAACACAGTGACTGTGTAGAGAGAGACTCACCTGTGTTTCCACATCATTAGCTTTCTGTGTATGCGGCCCTGGCTCAGCTTTCTTAGGTGCGACTTCTGCCAGTTGCTTGGTGCTCATCTGTTTACAATTCATGGCTGCTCTTCTAGAGCCGAATGAGGTAGGTCAGATTCATGGTCCAAAAGAATTAATCTTCCTCTGTACTTTGCTTTTCACTTTTTTTCCCAGAAGCCTGATCAGAGTCCAGCAGAGCACTTGAGCTGAGTGGGCCTTGGGTTTCATAACAGGGACTTTCAAGGCCCACTCAGGTGTTTTCTTATACAAGTTGAAGTCCATTTTTGCTCTAACTGGGAAGCTGGAATTTCACTTAAAAGGGGAAGAAATCCAGGTCCAGGGACATTCTTGGTCTTGACTGATTATTTAAAATATATTAGTTCCTGATAAAATATTTAGCTTTTAAGCAACAAATTTAATATAGGGAATTGTGTTTTATTTATTAATGGCAGCTGTAAGGAGATTGGTAGGAGTTGTGCTAAAGTGCACTGTTGTGATTTTGCAAAGTGTAGTAATTACTGTAATATTTTGTTGAATTATTAATATCAACTATGCCTGTAGGAACATAAGCTTCTGCAGTCAAATTCATTTCAAGATTGTCTTTTCCCCCTTCTGTTTTGTTTTGTGTTGTGTTTCCTTTCTGGTACACGTATGAATTGTTTAAGAAAGGGAGTGGAGGCTCGGAGTTGATTATGTTGTGTGAACACCCTTGCCACGGCCAGTAACTGAGGGGAGGTGGGGGCAGAAAGAGCCCTCGCTCGCTCGTTTCCGGGAGAACCCCTGCATCAGCCACACCTGTGTGCTGACGGCTGGAGGGAGGCTCCGGAAGTCACGTCTGATGAGCAAAAGCAAGATCCTTTTCCGGGACCGAAGTGCAGCGAGAGAACAGTGGTATGTTGGTGGCGTGTGTGTGTGTGTGTGTGTGTGATGTGTGTGCACATGAGCATATGTGCTGTCTCACGTGTAAATACGGTCATTCCCGTCTGTGTGGAAACAGCCCCACTCTCCTTTATTAATGGCCTCACCAGTTATGTGAAGCTGGCTGTGGCTGAAGATGGTGACGCAGACAGCTTGTAGTTGTTGCCGACTGGGCTGGAGCTGCAGCAGGTCGGGAGCTGAGTGCAGGGTTCCACACTGGGCTTCCCTTCCGGCTGTGCTAAACTGGAATCGGAAGCCAGCTTTCCCGTCACCCACCTGCCTGTGCTGTGGAATGGCCTGGGTTAGTCAGTGCTGAGACGCAGGCTTCCCCAGCCACATAGGAGTTGCAGGTTTCAGAATGGAATCCTGTGTTGGAAAGGACATCGTGAACCGTAAACCAGCAGGAGTACTTAAGGGAATGCCACTGTTGCTGTCATGTGAGAGCTGCTCGTACTTGGCCATAGGGAGGATTTTGTGCCTTTTTTGGTAATCAGAAAAGTCATGGTTGGTCATTCGTTTGGGTCCGACATCCTCTGCTCTGAGACTGCCTTAACATAAACATTCCAAGATGACATTTTAGGTCTGGGAAGGACACCTAATGACCCAGTCGCATTGCTTGCCTGTAAGGAAAGCGTGGCCAGCGCAGAGTGGAGGGCCCGAGTGCTTCCGGCAGGTGGCAGAGGTGCACATCAGCGCCCGTGTGGTTCTGGAAGGTCCCTGTAGTCTGTAAAGGCTGCAGTGTGGTCAGAGGTTTTTCTGCCAGCACATGGACCTGAGAAGGCCGAGTGGGTCGGCTGAGTTGTCGGGAGACACAGAAGGTGGGTCCCCTCGGGGGATGAGCAGTGCTCACCTTCGAATCCAGCTCTGCCTCCAACTAGCCAGCTCTGCGGCCTTTGCAAGTTACTTTTGTGAGACCCCTTCTCTCCTCTGCAACATCAGGCTGAAGTCTCTACTTGGCGTGGCTGTCATGAGCATTTGAGTTTAAAGAGCTTGGAAAGGTGCCTGCCATGTGGTAGAAGATTCTCTAAAATGGGCTCAGATTCTTATTATTAGACAAAAGAGGTCCTGAGGATTCGAGTGGTCTCCCTGCTGGTGGGCCTACCGCCTGTGAGCCGCTCTGCTGTCTGGCCCTGAGGCTGAGGGCTTCAAAGGGAGGAGAAAACTGTGCCTTCCAGCCCCTTCGTGCCCTCCTCAGGCGTGGGAGCAGGACTTCAATGCAGCGCTCTGAGAACTGCACTCCATGGGCCGGCCCTGGACAGCAGCAGCTCCAGGTCCATTGCAAAATGACATTGCAATTGACTCATAATAACTACTTATTTATGGAAGCACCACGATAATTTAATCCATGTCTGCGTCATATAATGATGAAATCAGTGCAATTAGCATTTCCCTCTCAAGCATTTGTCATTTCCTTGTGTTGGGAACCTTCAAATGCCTCTTTGCTAATTATTTTGAGATCTACAGTGCATGAATGTCAACTGTAGTCACTTCACTGTACTGCAGAACACCAGGCCTGTTCCTCCTCTCAAATGTATTTGGGCACCATTATCCCCTCTTTGTTTCTCCTTTTACTTTTCCCTGGCTGTGGTAAACACTATCGGACTCTCTGTGAATCTAGCTTTTTTAGCTTCTGTATATGAGTTAGGACTTGTGGTATTTGTCTTTCTTTGCTGGCTGATTTCACTTAAGATAATGTCCTTTAGTTTGTCCGTGTTTCTACAGATGACAGGATTTCATTCTTTTTATGGCTGCATAATATTCTGTTGGGTATACAGACCACATTTTCTTAGTTAATTCATCAGTTGATGGACACTCTAGGCTGATTCTTGAGGACTGTGAATAATACTTCAGTAACACAAGACTTTAGATGCTTTCTTTGATATACTAATTTCATTTCATATATATGTATATATATCTAGTGGTGGAGTTGCTGGGTCATAGTGTTTTAGTTTTAGTTTTTTGAGGAAACTATATGTAATTTTTCATAATGACTGTAACTGCGAAATACTTATCTGACAAGGGATTAATATCCAGAATATATAAGGAACTCAACTTAATGGGAAAAATTCAAATAATCCAATTAGAAATGGGCAAATGATCTGACTGAATCTGCGTTTCTCAAAAGAAGATACATAAATGGCTAAGAACTGTCATGAAAAAATGCTGAAAATCATAATCCATTTAAAAAGATTATTGTAAAAAGGATTAAAACAATAACAAATGCTGATGAGAGGGAGAAGGGGAGCTTTTATCCAGCCCCACTTTAGTGTCCCTTAGAGGGGCAGAGTGGCAGAGAATAGCAGATGCCTCTAAAATGGGACTTGCACAGGCCCTTGCCTGTGATTGGGTGTCAGGTACTTTGTCTCAGCAATGAGAAAAAGACAACATTTGAATCATTTTAAGGGTACAGTTCAGTGGCACTAACTCCATACACAGTGTTACATAACCACCCTACCACTGACCCTGAAAACCTGTCATTGTCCAGTTAGAAACTCTCAGCCACTTAAACAATGATTTCCCGTTGCTGCTCTTCCAACTATTGGATTCTTTTCTTCAGCGTCAGAGCAAGGATGAGGACTTCTAGTTCTCTTATCTTCTGTTTTCTCCTGTCCTGTCTCTGTTTTTCTCTTCTCTCTGGAGCTGGGATAAAAAGATCTATAGGTAGCTGGGGTCTGGAATAAACACGGTCCATGGTTGAGTTGATACATCCATATGCATTATTGTCATTAAAAGTAGTGAATGATGACCAGTGAGGTATGATTTGGACTGTGTGTGTCACACTGCAGCGAGTAGTTTTTAAAGTGTTGCAAACACGTCTCTAATTGTGCTTCGATTTAGACTTGATCTTGGAATCTAAGAGAAGTGTGAGCAGTTACGATGGAGATTCAGACCAACGCTGGCACTAACGCTGGCCTTGGGGACAGGATCTCACATTTCCAGAGGGCCTGGATGGGCCGGTGTCAGTCTTAGCACTTATGTTCCCCCTGCCTGTTTCCCCACACAGAAGCCTTAGGAGCTGGGGGCTGTTGGCGTCCCTTTCTCCCAGGGCTGAAACTGTGAGGAAGTCTCCGGATTCCAAGGTGACCTCGTGAGTGCTGCAGAGCAGGTGAAGCAGAGGCGAAGGCCTGGTAAGGTGGAAGGTAGCTGGGTCTCCAGTTCCAGCGACAGCAGTTGGGGTGTAGAGTCTGGGTGTGGGGCCGGGTGGAGGCAAAGTGATCAGCTTTTATTTCACTCTAGAAAGTTACAGTTGCCCAATAATGGACAACATTTAGCGAGTGCAGGTCATGTGCCAGGCCCTGAGCCGTAACCTTTATCCTCAAAGCGATTCGCTGAGGTTCCTGCGGCCGCCAGCTTCACTGTGAACACAAGCGAGATGTGGGGGCTCAGTACCCGGCCCGGTCAGGCAGCAGAGCCACGCAGCCCCATGTGGGGTGGCCTCACCTGAGGGCCTGGACTGCTGGTCCCAGAGCCCATCTCCCCTCTAACCAAGATTTCTCAAGTCCCAGGCTTCTCCTGGGAACCCTCTGTTCTCCGGAAGTCTTGCGTGTGTGCACTCAAGTTCTGCGTTTCCTAAGCAAAGGTGGAGGTGAGGAGGAGCAGAGTGTGTGTGTGTGTGTGTGTGTGTGTGTGTAAAAGGAGGAGGCATGCTGAGAGGGGCAGGTTACAGAGGCCCTGTGCAGTGCACTGGCAAACGTGCACTGTATTTTGTGAGCAGTGAACAGCCTGTGGTCACTTTGAGCACGGGAGTAGTTAGCAGTGGCACTGATCATACCCAGAACTCTACCAAACCCATTCACCCTGCTTCTCAGAAGGAGCAACAGACAGGTGCAGTGGCCTCTCTGGGTTGCCCAGCAAATTGCAGCAGAAACAGAAGCCTCTCTTTCCAGCTCTGCAGCTGCCGGCCGCCCTCCTGTCCCCCTGCCTGCTCCCCCTCACCAGCGCCTCTCGCCTGCTGCTCCTCTCCTCCATGATCTGCGCAGTGGCCATCCTCCTCATCATTAGAGCGGCCAGTGGGGCTCTGCTGTGATTAAAAGAAGCCAACGGGGAAGTAAAGCAGAGCAAGGCAGAAACGCAAGCACCAACAAAACATCTTACTTCCCACACAGACTCCCTAATGGCAGCCGTCTCTCTGCTCTCCTGGGAGCTGCTTGCTTCAAATACAGTAAAGGGAAACTCTGCAGGATGGTGGGGCAAAGCAGGTTATTGAGTCACCCTCAGAATGCCAGAGTGGGGGACTCACTTCCATTCTTGTCCTCTACCCCTCAGAGCCGAAGTGATCAAATATCGAGGCTTGAAAGAGACCTCACAGGCCTTTCGGTTCAGCTTCTCCAGGCGGGGTCCCCTCTGTCACCTTCCCCTCTGGTATCTGACACTGTTACATGGCTCCCATGTTCCCCAGCTCCCTGGATTTGCTGGACCAAAGCTGAGGTGGGGATGGGACCAGGAAAACTGGCTAGCCAAGCCTTTGGTGGCAGAGACTCTGGAAAAGTCTAATTCATTTTGTCCAATTAGCCCCTTGCTCTCTGAAATGCTTTTTCTTGGTTGCTGAGCAACTAGGATAGACTTTTAGTACTTGCTCACTGCTGGAGAATGAACCCGTAGTTTTCTCCTTCACTCCTGGTGCATCGATGTTTCTGATGCGCAATAATGGAGAGCATTTCCACATCCCCCCGCATGCTCACCTTCCCCAGGCCCCTCTGAACATGTTTGCTGTCTGCCTTCATGCATCTCCAAAGGTAACTTTTATGCCAAGCATCTGTCACGGTCAAGGAGAGTGACAGAATGCACTGGTACTCAGGGAGGCATTTGCAAAATAAAGGGATCAGCCTGCTCAGGTGAGCAGTAAGAAGAGCTTTGCTGGCCTGGGGGCCTGGCCAGGGCTGGGCTGAAAGCTATTTGGAAAGAGGAGGCAGCATCTTAGGGTGAGCGATGTGAGTGTGTATCTAGGCCTGGCAGCAGTTCCTTTCCAGTGTGCCCCAGCCTGGAATGGCTGTGAGCAGTCCACAGGAGGGGGATTTTAAGCCGCCGCTGAAATGGACAGCATCAGCCCAGGAAGGCAGCAGAATGCATCCGTGAAGTATAACCTGCTCCAATTTTAGGGTGTGAAGATGCCTTGGGGTACTTCAGTGAATTGGAATGCCAGAACTGGACTTGGTTCTTCCCTGTTTTATTTTTTCTTTTAATGCCATGGTGGGGATTGAACCCAGGACCTCACACATGCTAGGCAAGTGCTGTCCCACTAGCTCTACCTCCGTGCTCCTCTTCTGCATTTTTACAGCCTAGGAAGTGGAGCCTCGAGAGTTCGGGATATCTCATCCGGTCACATCACTCCATCACTCCTCCTAGGATCCTACACAGGATCCTGGTCTGCAAAGTTAGTCACTAGACTCACCGGAAGAACTTTCAGAAGTCAACTTTAATTTAGAATAGGGGAAGTCTGTACTGGAGATACGCTGTGCTCGAGGGTCTTGGCTTTTGTCCTTTTCTTTGCCTTGACTTGTGTCTTGCTAGGGGCACGTACTTGGGCCATGTATTCAGATCTGAACAGGGAATGGTCCCTTGTCCCAGAGCCCTCCCATAGTGGGGGGATGGAGACATTAAGGTACCATTCAGAAGAAGAAGAGCTGGGCTGCTTAACCTGGGCCCGATCCAGTGGTGAAGGAGCTGTGGGAGTGGATGCAGTGGGCCACTCCTGCCCACGGGGACAGCACTGGCCAAGAGGCACGAGAGAGGCCAGCATGTTTGGGGACTGGTGAGTGGCTTGGGAATGGAGCCTTCAGCTCTGGCTTTTCTCTGATCCACTGTAAAGGGAGTGGTACCGCCCATATTGACATCTGAAGATACTGTTTCCTGCTGTCCAGAATAATAAGAAGGTCGTTATCTTCATGCATGTGTGGGTACGGAAGAGCATATGTCAGGTTTCCTCGATGGACATGACGTCGCCTTGAAGTTAGTTCATAAATAATGATGAAGGGTGTAAAAGTGCCTGTGCACTGCACACATATTGGCTGTTGCTGTGGACTCTGACTTGCTGGGAGTGGGGCATTTAGGAAAACGAGCTGCCTCAGAGAGAGAAAGAGGCCCTGTGCATTGTCTGAAGCCCCCACTCCCAGAGCCTCCTGTGGGACTAAGGGAAACCTTCCATGGAGGAGGACCTGTTCTTTGGCGCTGATGGTGGTGGCAGTCACGCAGACAGTCCGCAGTGCAAAGGGACAGAGGAAGAATCGGTCTGTGGCAATGATTTCCCTGACCAGGCCTTGCCAGTGCAAGGAGTGAGTGCTCATGTCTGAGGATTGCACTGCCGGTCAGGGGCAAGTGCCTCTTCCCCAGCCGCCAGCCAGGGCCCTGGTGGGACTCACTGCTTTCCCAAGGCTGGGCTTGCCTTCTAGAGGGTTCATGGCTGGCAAGCAGCATGGTGAGGTGCTGCTTAATATAATTTCTCCTCTGGGAATTTTCTTAACAAGATGGTTTGATTTCCTCTAGGAATTAAGCTGGGGGTGGCTGCTATTTTTCTAGTAAGACTTGTTACTCTCAAGTGCATGCTGGGCCCCGAATCACAGCGGTGCTTTTGGAACAATCAGATGCACACTGCAATCTCAGGCTCTGGTAATGGCTTTTCATGAAATAACTGTCTGATCCTTTGGGCTTGGTGGACGAAGTGTGGGTGTGCTTAGGTCTTCCTAGACTGGAAGGTGTCTCCAGTGAACACTGCTGCTTCTTCCTTGCTCTGATTTCCTTTGGTGAGAGATGAGTCTTGCCTTGGTGACCCTGTTACATCTGTTCTTTGCTGAATGGGTCTGCTGGTGTGTGCTGGCAGGGACGGGCGCTTCCTCTCATAGTGGTCATTCCTGCCATGCCTGAGGGATTCCGTTTCCCGTGTCCTGGATGTGCACACATGGATTCCCCTCCGCCTCTTATGTGAGGAGGCAGGGCACATCTGGAGCCAGATTTCATTCAACCCTGTAACAATCCCCCTTTATGACATCACTGCTCATCACCATGGAAACATCCCCCAGTCACAGAGACTGGATTGTGGCATCATAGCATTAGGCAGCCGCGGGAGGAGAGGACAGGAGAGGATTGAAGCTGCCTGGGTGGATGAGAGGCCTACAAACTAGCAAGCGGTGGCAGAAATACAAGATTGTTCTGGTGGGATCCTCGGATGAAGGGTCTAGCCACACGTTGCTGGAATAAACCTCACCTAGGATAAGGAGGAAGAGCTTCTACAGATGGGGACCCTTGACTCTCTGTTCTTATTCAAGAATGAATGGCCAGGGGAAATTGACTAATTTCAATGAGAACTATCTCTTAGCTTAGGTTTTTCGTTTGGTCCTCATAAAATCTCCCTTGGCTCAGGGAGGTTAAATCAGTGACGAAGCTCGCACAGCTGGGAAGAGGCAGTGCTGAGAATTAGGGGCATCAGATGTGAACTGGGCTCTGGTGCAGTTTATGGGGGTGTGTGTGTGTGTGTTAGACACAATTAGCAGATAAAATAAAATATAATACGTGTTGTTATGCTTCTGGAAGGTGTCCCGAGACTACACACCGTGCTCCTGTGTGGGGTGGCACTGAGTAGCGGGGACTCGTGTGTGTTTGTCCCTAGGGTTGGAGCGCACTCAGGTCTGGGAGGTGCACACGTGCCTGTATGCACAGGCCTGTGCTGGCATAGCCCTGCCTGCCCCAGCTCCTCACTGGGAGCCCCCAGCACCCTCTTCCCAGCTGCCTTGGCTGCCTGGGGCTCATCTTATGGTGGCCTGGTCTGCGTCTGTCTGCTTCCTTCTCCTCGGAACGTGTGCCAGCCTGCTTCCCTCCATCCTGCTTCTCTTTCCCTCGGCTGTAGAGACCTAGAGAGAAGATATTCTTCTCTGGTGTGTTTTGCTTTTCAGTGCTGGAAATCAAACCCAGGGACTCACATGTGCTAGGCAAGTACTGTACCACTGAGCTACATCCCTAGCTCTCTTCTCTCTCATATCTTGCTTTAACTGAGGATCAAGTTAGAAGATCTGCTGCCAAATAAATGGTGTTTTTTTACGGAAAAACATTAATAACTAGATTTTACATAGTTAAAAAATTTATCTTGCTGGCCGTGGTGGTGCACATCTGCAATCCCAGCACTCTGGAGGCTGAGCTGGGAGGATCTTGACTTCACAGCCAGCCTGGGCCACATAGTGAGTTCAAGGCCAGCCTGGATTAAATAGTGAGACCCTGTCTCAAGAAACAAAACAATTGTCTTATAGACTTTCCTTATCAAGCCTTGGCTGATAAATGAACTAACAACTGAGCATTAAAACACACACACACACACACACACACACACACACACACACACACACAATCCCAGCCCAGAGTAACAGGCTTGACCTGAGAAGCTCAACAAGTATTTTGCCGTTGTGTGTGTGGGTTCCATCTGCTGGTGCTTTTGTGTAGGACTCATGTAACCCGGCCACATTTTTCTCTTGGTGTTACTCACTGTAGTCCACAGCATGGCGCCCGTCTGCCTACTGCTTCACGGGGCTTAGCGGCTGCAGGTGCTCTGCCATGGAACGCCTCTGGTGGCCCACTTGGCCTTGGATAACTGGGCCTCAGAAAGCCCGCTGCCCTTCTGTGCCACTGAGCTGGGCTCTGGGACTCTTGAAGGCCCCCATTGCTCTCCTGGGACAGAGAGCGGACAGGTCTGTGTTTGCTCTCCACGGTGCTGCTGTCTGACTCAGCTGAGCCCCTTGCTGGTCAGAGCTCTGTGGCGTACTTTATTGCAGTGCGTGTGTGTACACATGTAAGATTTTAATTAGTGAGCCACATAAAATGTGTTTACAATCCATCTTGTCTTTCCAGGACCTAGAATAACAGTTCGACAGCTAATGGGGCCCTTTTGGACCTGCTTTATTGATTCTATCAGAACCTTTTATGGCTGGCACAGACAGAACTACTAAGTGGCTTTTTAATTTTTCTTTTAAAGTGATACGTGGGGAGTCATATAGTGAGTTTAGGTAGGAGCACAGCCTTTGTGTAAGACAAGGGTTTGGCTCCTGGCTGAGCCTCTTTCAGCTCTATGACTGTCTACATTTAAATGTCTTCATTTTAAAAATAGGCATGAATCTTAGTACCTACCCCATGAGGTCGATGTTCAGACTCAGTGAGATACACCTGTGAAGTCAAAGGTAATTTTAAAATGGGTCAAATATGGCATCTGTGTTTTCTCCCCAAAACTTAAGGAAAATCTGTTTGAACTCAGTGCAAAATTTTAATTATAGCAGATTGTATATATATACATATATATATAAATTCTCAGGTTTGAATTAGAAGGATCGGAATAATTGGCATTTCAGTGCAAAATTTTAATTATAGCAGATTGTATATATATACATATATATATATAAACTTTCTCAGGTTTGAATTAGAAGGATCGGAATAATTGGCATTTCAGTTGTTCATTATTTACAGACATCCTAGGTAAAGGGGACTTAGGAAGAGAGACAGTAGGATGAAATTGATTTCTGAGAGCTTTGTGAGATATTAGAGATCTTTTCCCAAGTGGGACCCTCACCTTAGACTGTAAAGCAGATTCAACAGCTCTAATCCCATGCCTGTAAGGGCAAACTGCTCTCTTCAGGCAGTGCTGGCAGAGGAGAAATTCATCCGAATGGGTGGGCCATGCCCACGTGCTGACCAGGGGAAGGCGGGAGAGTGAGGGGCTGGCCCTCCCACTCAGAGCTGGCTCTTCAGGAAAGTGGTTCATCTTTGATCCCCAAGTCCTCAGACAGAGGAGAGCAGAGATGATGACTACTAGATATGTTTATTTCTTAACATTTTTATTTATATATAATATATATGTATCAGTACACAGATTTTAAAATTATTTTTGTGATAGTAAAATGCACAAAACAAATTTACCATCCCAACCATTTTAAGTGGAGTCTAGTGTTATTTAATGTATTCATAATATTGTACAACCATCATTACCATCCATCTAAAATGCAAAACTTTGAGTGCGAACATGATGTCACAGATATAAAATTCCACACTATGAAACTTTGTTTCATAAACAAAATTATTAAAAATATTGTATAAAATTACTTTCAGGAATGTGTGTTGTGAGGTATATGTGAAACATAGGTGAATTTTGTGCTTAGGCTGTGTCCTGTCCCGAGACATCTCATCATGTCTGTGACAGTATTCAGAAATCTGAAGAAGTCTGAAACCTGAACTGTTACAGGTCCCAGCATTTTGGATAAGGGATACTCAACCTGTGCTCTATTATCTGTTTTCTTTGTAGTTGCCATGGAGATTACAGTTAATGTCTTAAGGTGATAATACTCTTAACTTGAATTTATACGACCTTAATTTCCATAACATACAAAAACTGCTCTTAGAAAACTCCGTTAGCAGCAATTTTGGTTGTTGATGTTACAAACAATATATGAACATTGTGTGTCCAAATAAATGAGTAATTCTTTGATATGAATTAGCAAAAGTGCACAGATTTTAAGTGTACATATCAATAAAGTTTTATATGACGACACTGATGTTGCCCCACTGCCTAAACGAGGGTAAGCTTCGGAATGTCAGAAAACACCTTCATGTCCCTTACATATCAGTAGCCTCTCTCCGGGAAATAAGCACTCTTCCAACTTGTCAAGTTCTGCCTGTTCTTGAAATTCACGGACGAGGGATACTACAGTGTGGTATGCAGGACTCTGCTGATGACCCCACATTCTCTGCCTTCTGGTAATCATGTCCTTTCTGCTTACTTCCCTCTGGGTTTGCACTGGCCCCCATGACCTGCTTCTGGTGAAGATCCTATGGCAGAGGCACTGGGAAATCACTTCCAAGGTTAGCTCACAGGAGACTCTGGCTTTTGTTTTGCTCCCTTTCTCTCTGACTCTTCTTACTTGCCTGAGGAATCCTGCTGCCGTGTCCCGAGATGCCCTTTCCACCATGTCCAGTGATGAATCCAGGCCCTTGGCCCAACGGCTCCCCGCCTGGGTGTGGAAGCAGACCTTCATATGCATTGTATGTTTTTGTGTGTGTCTTTTTTACCCATTTAACTTTATGTCTGTGAAATTTGTCTCTGTTGACATATAATTTAAATTCTTCTTATTTCTGTGTGACAGTTAGTGTTCAGGAGTACACCCAAGTTAGTTACTGTAGTGTAATTGATGTGTATTTGTGTTCTTCCCATCTTTTGGCTATAGGAATATTCTTACATATTTTGGGGGCATATGCACACATTTCATCTAGGAATATATACCCAAGAGTAGAATAATTGGGTCATAGAGCAGATTTTTAGTAGATATAAACAATTTTCCAAAGTGGTAATACCAATTTACTACTTGCAGAAATGTATGAGATTTCTGATTTTCCCACTTTCTTGCCAAAGCTTGGTATTTTTTCATTTTTCCTAATGGCATCCCATTGTGGTTTTCCTTTTTTTGCTTAAATTCTTTCCTTGGTACATTTTAGGTATGCAGTGTTTACATTTATCATTGAGTGCTTCTACCTGTACATGATATATCTTGGTTCTTATTTTTTCCTCATTACCTGTGTGCCCTTCACCCCCTCCACCCTTCCTTATTTACGTAAGACTTTGTTTACATTTTTTTCTTTTCTCATAATTTTTCTTTTGCCTTATTTCCTTCCACCGTGGTTTTTAATGTGATTACTGATGGATGTTGAACACTGTTCATGTGCCTAATAGCCAGTTGGATATATTCTTTAGTAAAATGTTTAAGGAAGTATTTTGTCTATTTTATGTTACATTGTCTATTTGTAAACTAGTTTTAAAAGAACTCTTTATATTCTGGGTTTCCTTCCCTGATATATTTATTACAGTCTTCAGGTTCTATTAATGGTATATTTTTGGGAAGGGGTGTTCTTAATTTTAACGAAATGTAATTTATCATTTTTTTCTTTTAAGGTTATAAAATGTTTGCATATT